TAATTCAATACTATAGATCTCAGTAATTCATGCATCTGATAGAACAGACTTTATAGAAAAGCTTTAACAACTTATTCAGTATTCATCTTATTGTAAGATTTCAATATTATATCTTGGCTCAATAAGTTCACAATGATCAGAATATTTCTACAATTCTTACTCTCATACAGATCAACAGTGAAGTCAATTATCACATCTTATCAGATTTTATCAGAAATATTAAGTGATTTCAGCAGGCCTTTTCTACAGTTCTTTCATAAGATGATAAAAGAATAATAATTGCAGTTTCAGATAAAACAACTGATGCTATTTGATATCTCAGATCAGTAGAATTCTCAAGAGATCATTTAATACAGTTGTTCACAGTCTGAATAACTGATTATCCACAAATTATACATCTCTTGCATTATTCAGATACATAAGAGTTTAGAGTGAGAGACTCTGCATCATTCACAGAATCATAGAGTGTTATTATCATTGATTGAACATTCTGAGATATCAGTTCTTATATATAGTTCTGGAGAAAATCAGAGTGCTTCTTAATATACTGCTTCAGTAAGTGCTTGAGAAAGTTCATCAGTTTAAGCTGCTATATGTCATAGTTCATCTAGTATAGATTTGAAAGAAGTTGAGATATCAGTAACAGTTCTAATCAGAGAAGTGTGTATAGTGTCATGAGCTATCTCATCTTGATTAGCTAATATCTTCAGATTCAAGAGCTGATGCTCTCAGTTTATTCAGTGAGTATCTGTTATATCAGATGATATATCTTACTCTTATTATGAGAAAGTATCTGTCATTGAGCTCTGGCTGCTGAGGCAGTAGTGTATCATGAAATCAAAACAGCTTAATAGCTCAGATCATTACATCTATTATTCTGTAAGCTTATGAGTGATAATGAAGTGTTTGAGATTCTTGTAATCTGTGATTATCTCAAATTTGAAGACACTTCAGAGTTCAGAGTCTCATTCTTCTAAACAGTATATAATCACAAGAAGTTTCTTATTATAGATCTCATAGTTACATTCAGTGAGACTTAGTTTCTTAGACATGAAGATATATAATTGAAGACATCTTCATTATTATATTACAATATCACTCTCTCTGTAACATAGTCAGAGAAGTCAGCTTCAATAACTGTTTTATAATCAGAGTTAAATATCATTAATAGAGAGATGTTGATGAATATCTTCTTCATCTGTGTGAATGTAGCTTCAGAATTCACTGATCACTGAAATACTAAGTTCTTCTTGATAAGTTCTGTAAGTAATGTCACAATATCTGAGAAGTTTCATATAAATCACTGATAGAAGTTAGTAAATCTGATAAAGCTTTATATATCTTTAACAGTACACAGAGCTTCTCATTCAAGAATGACAGAGACATTCTCAGAATTCATTTGAATTCTCTTGCCAGCTTCTCTGATAAAACTCAGATATTTGATACTCTTGACTTTAAAATCACACTTGTCAATATCTATTGATAGTTCTGCTTCTTATAATTATTATAATACTTTTCATACATATTCTTGATATTCTTTTCTGAACTCATTAGTGAAGATGAGAATGTCATTGAGATATATAGATATGAATTTATCAAGAAAATCTCAGAGTGCTCAGTTGATATACTTCTGAAATGTTCTGAGAGTATTAGCCAGTTTAAAGAGAGTAACTACTTATTCAAAGAGATTATAACATGTTCAGAATGCTGTAAGTCATTCATCTTCTTCAGTAATATAAATCTTATGAAATGCAGTGATGATATCTAGTTTTATAAATCATTGAGCTTGTTCAATGTGAGCTAGAGTTTCATTGATCAGAGATAAGAGATAGTGATTCTTCTTGATTAATCTGTTCAATTCTTAATAGTTTACACAGAATTGAAGTTCTCTGCCTGATTTCTTTGCAAAGAGAATAGAAGCTGTGACAGAGAAATTACTAATATATATGAATTCTTTATTCAACAGATCATTGAGTATCTTTCAAAGAAGAAGAAGTTCATCTCAGAACATGTTATAAAGAGAGTCTTATAATAATTCAGAGTCTTTATCATTCTTCTTTTTCAACTTGATACTGTGGTTCACTTCTGAATCTCATAAGAGAGGTAGATTTATAACATTATTATCTTATTGAAAGACATCTAGATATTCATGATATTGTTGAGAGAGTTTTATATAAGAATCTGTTATTATAACACAGAATAACTTTTCTAGAGACTTTTTAATATCAGTCAGACTGACAGAGTAGATTGCTATATAATTCTGCTATTAATACTCTTATCAGTGATTCTGTCAGTGACTTTCTTTTCAGAGTATTTCATATGCATTGACAGAGATCTGTGTCAGATTCATGATTTTATGAATATTATCTTCATGAATTCTATCATTGTTAAAGAATATCAAGCTTCTATTTTAAGTATTTAATAAGATGCCTTGTTTAGATAGTCAGGCAAGTTCTGACATAAGATTATAATTGAGATTATTAACTTTATATATATAGACATTTTCACATTGATGTTCTTTGACATCTATGATTAACTTCATCATGTAACAGATATGAATGTCTTTTGAGTCATCAAATTCTGTGAGAACTCAGAGTCTTAATAAGAGAATACACTGAAGATTGTAATATCTTACAACTGAAGATTTAATCATTACATAGTAACATGGACTGCTATCTATCATAATCTTCATATTATACATGTTATTCATCACAGTAGATATAAGAATTGTATTCATTATCATCTTTTCTTCAAATTATTATTATCTGACTTCTTCAAGCTTCTGTTTATAAATTTAAATAGAAGCTAATCTTTTCTCTGTTTCATTGAAATGTTCTCATAGTTATCTTCTGAATCCTTCTTCAATACAATGTGATTGATGTGAACAGATGCTGATTCATTCTTTGAATAAGAAGACACTGATCTTTCTCTCAAGTAAGGAGATACATAGGTCAATCAGCAGTTGAAAGTGATGTGTTCTGATCAGTTATAGTTAATGCACACTTCACATTGACATCAGTCAGTAACTTCTTCAGAAGTGATCTCAGAAACTCAAAAGCCTGTTTGAACAGCAGAGACTCTTGCTTATATATAGATATTTAAGTCTATTCAGTTCATGACATCTGTATCATTGTTATTCTTTGACATAGATATATAAGTGACTGAAATGTAATGTCTTCTGTCACTGTTCTGTATACTCTTGAGCTTGATAAGATGATTATTCAATGTCTGAAGTTGTGTGCAGAAGCCTTCATAAGTCAGATTCTTGTTTATTCTTATAAGAGTCTGTAAGAGTTTGAAAGTTAATGTCTTCTTGAGCATGCTAATCTTCATTCAATTCTCTCAAGATTGATTACCTGCTTCTAGAATCTTGATATCAAAGTCAGAAATGAATGTTGTAAGAGAAGTGTTTCTCTGTTAGATACTCTATAATCAATCTAATGCTTTCTGTTGCATGACAGTATCTTGGAACAGAATATCAAGATATTTGATAATGTTATCAGGCATTTGCAATACTGGTTCACATGCTTTTATTCATGAATGAAACTTCTGTTTTATGTGATTCTTCAATTGTTCATTGATATATCAACCTTGATTGATTACTGACCTGATGATATCTTAATCTATACTTAGTTTCACAAGCATTTCCAATCTTCATGATGAGTAGAGAGTGAGATCAGAAGTATTGAAATATGTGAGAGCATCTAAGCATTTCTTCAGTGTTTATATTGTATTTATATTTGATTCTGTTGATATTGAAATTGTCTATGCAGAGATTTCTTATTGAGATAATTATTGAATCTCTTCATATTTATGTTATTGAGTCACATGCATATTAGCTATCTATTACTGTTGTAATTTCAGCATTGCTCAGAGTCACTGTGGCACTGTATCTATACTCACATTTGAGAGTTCTCTCATATTATTGATAGACATAGCTGTATCATTTATCAGATGTGTGTAATTATATGAATATCTCATACATCTGTGTCAGAACTCTTAGATCTTTCACTAATGTTCTCTTTATAAGATCTTATTGCAGAGTCAGAATGACTGGTAAGTAAGCTTCTATCTGAGAACTCAGTATTCACTTAACTGGTTGTTTCTCTATTTCTTATACATCATTATGTGTTTAGATATCTTCTCAATGAGTAATTATTTTTAATGAGAAGATAATGAATATTTTTCTAGTCTAAGAGGCCTACACTGAATAGATCAGTATAATATATAAGTCTTATATAACAAAGAGAAAAATGTTAAAGAAGAAAAAGAAAGAGAAAGTGCAAGAATCAGTGATTGAAGTGAATATTTATACATGTATATGATGGTGTACACAGTGGAGCTTCAGAGCGGGAGAATTTATACGCGTTCATGACAGTCAAGAATTGATGGTTGAGAATGGCCGAGAATCGGAGCTTTCAGCGGAATCTATGAAGTGTAAATGAAATAGTCTATATAATCGATCGGGCGCAGCCCGTCACAATTTCATTTAGTCTCATTCATAGCATAAAGTTACTATTTTTAGACATTTTAAGGTTTTTTTTAGACTATTTTTAATTTTTTAAAAAGTAACACCTTTTGATAACACTTAAATGAAATTTAAAGTTATTTAAAGCAATAAAAGTAATTTAAATTGAGAAGTGAAAATCATGGTTTCATTTGAAAAATATGATAAGAGTAGACAGTAAGTTTCACTGAAATAGTATAAAACTACTATCTAATCTTAAAACTGTGTAATGAGATTAGGTAAATTGATAATGAGACAATCAAATGTTCTGATCCTGATCTCAGACACGGTTACATAGTCAGTCTAATCAGATCTACTCACTGCAACAATTTCTGCAATGATTTCTGCAGAGATATCTTCAGTGACTTCTGACTTATCAACTAATGATCTGTTGATTGATGAGAAAATCTGACCTGAGTGTTCATTATTTCTTATACCCACTAATAATTAATGAATTGCTTATGAAATTTCCGCGAGAATATCTACTTTTTTAATGCAGAATACACTGAACTCTCTGAAACTCACAGTTGAATCTGATGATTCTCTGACATCTACAAGAGATATCACTGCAGTGAGAAAATTTTCAGTGAGACACAGTCTTGAAGATCTATCTACTGATTCTGAGATTACTGCACTTTCAATTCTGAAGAATCTCATGCATGTTAAAGCTTTCATGAAATGAAAGTACTATTATAAGACCTGTGTTAAAGAGATCAACTGTTTGAAACAGATTGAGATCTGATAACTGATTAAGAGAATACTACAAATGAGTGTTCTCTACAGTCAATGAGTATTTGATAAAAAGTTCAATAATATGAATGAGATTATCTGCTATAAGACTCACTGAGTTGTCTGCAGAAATCATTAACAGAAGAAGATTAATTACTCAAGAATCTTTGCATCTGTTATCTCTGTATTCACCTCTCAAGCTCTCATAGCAATCTTGACATCTCAGGGCTGATATGTTCTGCAGATTGATATAGTGACTGCTTTTTTAAATACTTAACTGTCTGCTGATGAATGAATATATATAAATCAATTCACAGAATTCTGTGAAGACTGTGATAATCTTGTGTATAAGTTGATACAGAAACTCTACAGTCTTAAGCAAGCAGCACTTTTATAATATAAGAAGCTGTGAAAAATGCTATTATACTCAGACTTCTATGTCAGTCTCTAGACTGACCGTGTGACCGTGTCTGGGACCAGGACCAGATTTTTTGATAGTTTCATTACCAATTCGACTGATCCCATTACACGGTTTTAACATTAGATAGTAGTCTCATACTGTCTCAGTGAGACTTACTGTCTACTCTTATCACATTTTCCAAATGAGACCATGATTTTCACTTCTTAATTTAAATTATTTTTATTGCTTTAAATGACTTTAAATCTCATTTGAGTGTTACCAAAAAGTGTTACTTTTTAAAAAATTAAAAATAGTCTAAAGAAAACCTTAAAATGTCTAAAAATAGTAACTTTATATCAAGAATGGGACTAAATGAGATCAAATGAAATCACTTTCTCATTTTTTTCAAGTCATGGTTTCATTTTAAGATCTGATATATAGTCACTTTGCATGTTTTTTTAATGACTAGTCCCAGCGGGATTCACGCTAAGAAATGTATGAGATCAGACCAAATGAAATCAAACGTGAAATTCATGATTTCAGCGGCCAGTCTATCAGTCTCTATAATACTGAACTATTTATTCATGATGAAAGACAGATCTATATAACTATCTATGTAAATAATATCTATATTTACAGTCTGAAAATTAATAATCTGAACTGAGTTAAAGCTGAAATCACTGCTAATTATAAGATCAAGAATGTAGAGAATTTCAATCACTATCTGAGAATAAAGATTAATAGAGATTTATCTTTATTAATATTATTTCAATCTCTCTTTATAAGAAATCTTCTGAACAAGTTCTTAATTAATAACTATCACTCTATATTCACTTCTATGAAAGAGAACATCAATTTTATAAATAATAATAAGAAATTAATTATATATACAGTGAAATTTACTCTATAATTTTATTAATCTAGTATTGAATCTCTGCAATATCTGGTAATTAATACATATTTTAATATAAGCTTCACTTCAGATTTTCTTGAATAATTCAACTCTCAGTCTATATTAAAGAACTGAGCTATATTCAAATATACACTCTGATATCTACAGAGTTTAATCAATGAAAGTATAATCTATTACAGAGATACTGATATTAAATCTGTGATATACAGAGATGCTTATTGAGCTGATAGAAATTCAGAATCTTATATACTTATCAGTTATATTATCTATATAATAGATAGTTCTGTTGAATAATAAAGCTGCTGATAAACTGAGATCTTTAAATTATTAACAGAGACTGAATATATTACATTTTTCAAGACTGTATATAAGCTTGTCTGTCTCTGCAAGCTTCTAGAAGACACTGAATTCATTTCATTTCATCTTAATAATCTGAATACTGATGATTATCTCATTCTCATCACAGTTAATAATCTTACTTATATAATTTATACTGATAATAAGTTCATTATAGAGCTATTCTCTTCTGAAGTAATTTCACACTGCTTAAAGTATATAGAGATATATTTTCACATTCTTCAGAATCTTATCTGTAAGAATGAGATATATATTCAATATATTTCATCTGTTAAGATCACAGTGAATAAGCTTACTAAATCACTTAAAACATTGAAATATACACATTGAAAGAAGAATATTAAGATGAAGAAATAAAGCAATAAAAAATAATGAATTTCATAACTTATTTTTTATTACTATATATTTTCCAGTCATTTTTTATACCTGTACTTGATTTGAAGGTGAATTTTATATATAGTATACAGTATAGATACTCTGATAAGTGAAAATATCAGATTATATAATCTAACTTACTAATTCTTTCATTATATAACTTCTCACAAGCTAGTAATCTTTTTAATCAAGCAAGCTTTACATCTTTCACACTATTCATATGAGAACACAGAGATTGCTGGAAAACTTGTTGTAGAACTCTGTAGTGAGTTAATTAATTTTGAAATCAATAGAATTCTTTTTAATTTATGATAAGCAGCTGCAGAATTATTAATACAGTATTTTTATAAGAGCCTACGCTGAATAGATCAGTATGATATTTATGGATCTTATATAACAAAGTGAAAAACATTAGAGAAGGAAAGAAAGAGAAAGTGTGAAAATCAGTAATTGAAGTGAATATTTATATACATACGCGGTGGTGTACGCGGTGGAACTTCAGAATAGAAGAATAGAGGTTTTTATATACAGTGAAGCTTCGGGGTGGAAGAATAGAAATTTCCTAGGTTTTCAGCTGAGAATTGACAACTGAGAATCAGAGTAGTAGAAATCTGTGAAGTGTAATAAAATAGTCTATATGATTGATCAGATGCAGTCTGTTATATTAGTTCTCTTCTTCTCTAATTATGCATAGCTCTCATCAGTCAAGGGCCGCGGTCTCAGGTAATGCAGAACTCAGAGTTCGGATCAGACAATCATACTCAACTCATTTTATAAGATATTGTCAGCTGCAGCTGTGAGATCTCTTATCAATTATATTCTCAATCTCTTATTTAAGTTTGTTATCTTCTTGTATGATTCCTGACAGCTGCCAGTTGAAAGTCAGTTGAGAAGAGAATGAATTGATGACAGCACAGCAGAGCAAGCTTGTATGAAATATATTATAAATCTCTGATAAAGTATTAAGATAGTAGTTATGACTGTTCAGAATCTCTATCACTGTGTATTTTATATAATGATAATTCAATATATAGAATGAGTATGTGATCTGTATATTCTTGAGATTCAATCATGCAAGATCTTCTATCTTATACTGCTCTGCAGAATCTTGTCAGATATTAACTTAATCTTCTTAGTCATGTTTAGTACTTATCATGAAGACTTCTACTCAGTCACAGATGTCTTAGAGCTTTATTACTATATTATCAGTAATCTGAATTGAACTCTGAGAGTTCAATGTAAACTGTGTGATCTCTAGAAGATTTAACATCTTTATATAATAACTATGTATAAGAAGAAATGAGCTTATATCTATTAAAACGGCATGTTAATCATTAATAGTAATCGAATCCC